AGAGAGAGAGAGAGAGAGAGAGAAAGTGAGAGAGAGCTAATGCAAGCAGTGGGTGCCGTACCTGTAGTTCCCTAACATAGCTGAGCACAAAGAAGTCGAGCGCCAAAGCGGTGATCCACTCGCATACGGTTGCGGCCAAATGGAGGCCAAACGCGCCGTCGTCGGGCTGCCAATTGGTGGGATCCTTGCCGTGAAAGTACTTCATAGCCCACGGGCCGCACACACAGCTCACGGTAAACGTGCACGACATCAAAGTGGCCAAAAACAGGCGGAACTGTGCCATCAGTCGGGTGTTGACGAGCGGCACCATTCGGAACGACATGATTGTCTGCAGCCAACAGTAGACGGCGCCGAACCCGAAGGACATAGTGGCGCCAACCATATGTATTTTGAAGAGTTCCAGTTCCCGGAAGTTGGCCACCATTGACAGCCCGATCGATGAGGTGAGGCCGCAGATCAGGGCGATTCGGTTGCGGCAAAAGATCTTGGTGCTCTCCACCGATAGATTGTCCCGGTAGTATTGCTCGATCTGCTTGTATCGTATGTATATCGTTAAGCCAACTGAGCCCACGGGAGGGGGTGATTGTTGCCGTGCGGTGACGGGTGTGTGAGATAATGGTTAGAACTAATGGCCAGAACAAGGTGTGAGTGAATGCATACCGAGAAAAGCGCAAAAATTCAATAGTTGTGCGAATATACTGGACTCCGGGACGTGTGTCCCGGTGTCCGATATGTACGGCAACTCCACCTCCACGTGACCTAATGTGATGGCTATTATGTATCTGTAATTTAGAGTAAAAATTAGCCATGGTTAATTAAATGGTTAAGTATCAAGGTTGTTAATTGTTGTTCACTATACAGGTAGTCAATAAGGAAAACTTATCATTTATAACTAAATAACTTGTAATTATTATGGCAAGGTCGCGTGATTATAAACTATCGTATTAAGTTAATACTATTAACTAGTACATGTTGTAGGTGGTGTAAACTAAATGACCAGGTTCACTATAACGGGTGTACATTATATAATAATCAACTCACGTGATGATGAAAGTGGATGGGAGTAAAACAAATACAGCGAGCGGTACGTAATGCAAGTTTTCCCAAACCATGGTCAGTTTGGTGTTTTGTAAATCACCTTGCTCAATACGATCACAATTTTTTGTTTAATTATAATTGATTACTTTTAATTGTATTACAAATTAATGTTTATTTTTTGTTTATTAATCACATAATAATAGTTGTGTTATTTATTTACATCGTTCGCACATTTAATTGGCAATTAGTTATAATAGTTGTAATAAATAAAATTAATTATTTAAATAGTTATTATTCAAAGTGTTGTTTATTATAATCACAATTAAATGAGAGATTCATTGAATACAAGCGAAATACAAAATTAAATGTAAAAACAATAACAAAAATTGTCCGTATTTTCAGCGAAAGTGCAATCATATGATGCGTTATGACTCAATACGGGTCACACATAGATTACGTTAAACATATAGCACGTCGTCTACAATACAATTACGGTATTAATTGTGAAGAATAATTAGTCTATTTTTAAGCTAAATTATTTAGTATCAGCAAATAATGTAGGTAGTTAATTTATTAATTTAGTTTTAAACATGTTTAATAGAATAAGTTTATTTGTAAATGATTTATTCATGGTGGTTTAATTGTTCATTAGCTGATTAGGCATATTACTTAAAGTAGACTGTATGGCCGATAGAATTAAATAATTGTGGGATATTGTAACTTGATTATTTAAAAAACAATCGTATCTTACCTTAATTGATAACAAAAAGCAAACAATTGTTTGGCGAATACACCTTAAATACCTGTACAGGCAGTTACACAATAGCGTCAACCTTTGTATCAGTCATACTGTACTGTACGCACACTTACAGTGCGATACTAACTAAATGCATGTCAATTATAAAACATGAGAAATCAATTATTATTATTAACTATAATAGATTAGATCGAGATTAAAATAAATGACAACTGATACAATTCAATTAAAAAACACCATGATAGAATAAACTTTAAAAATGTGCGATACCCTGGTCTCAAGTACTAACCCTTTGTCGAAGTTGCTTAACCTGGGTGATTGAACGAGAACCAGTGTTTGGCCGTAGACATTTGAACATGGCCCTAATGTGCTAGCTTATCATATTATTGTTTGTTTTAGGCAATAATTTAGTCAAATCTGATTAATGATTATAATTAATCAAAAATAATTTATTATGATTGCATTTTAAACTTAAAAATAATTTTACTTAATTTTTAAACACAAATTTCACGTTATATACACTGTATGTTACTATGAATTAACAAAAGATAAATGCGATTAATTGTTTACACCAAAACACAATGAGTAATGAAATTGTTTAAACATTATAATTTATAAAACAATCCACTTAATTGTCTATATATTGGATCAAAAATGTTGAATTATTATATTTTTAAAATTTTAAAATTACAAGTTTAAGACATACACGAGATGTAAACGATATTGCCTTTCGTTATCTCCAGATATGGAACCACTAATTGTGTCAACACTTGAATACTTCGGAGCCTATAAAAGTAAATTACACCCTGGCCAAATTAGGCAAGTTTATCGCGTTGATAGGGTGATAACGCACACGATGCCCGAATGTAGCCGCCATCGACCGGCAAAATGGCACCCGTTATGAATGAGGCCGCGGGTGAGCACAAGTAAGCCACCGCTGAGGCCACGTCTTTGGGCTCTCCGATGCGACCCAACGGATAATTTCGTCGGCAGTGCTCTTCAATGGCGGCCAACGCATCCGCATTACCGGTAAATATCTCAAAAATCGGGGTCCGAATAGCGGCCGGACTTTAATTCAATTGATAAATAGTTGTTGAATTAATTATTTTTGTATATTATTACCAATATTAGTGATAATTAACACTCACCTAACACAATTAATGCGAACCCCATCCGGGCCTAAAGCCAATGCCAGACATTTGGTAAACATATCCAGGGCACTTTTGGCCATATGATAAGGAAGTATCTTGGCTGACTATATGGGTGCAAAAGGTATTGCTTAATTTATTTTACATAGTTTTGTATTTTAGTTACCGGTTTAAGTCCGGCGATACTCGAGATGTTAACGATATTGCCTTTTGTTATCTTCAGATATGGAACTACTAATTGTGTCAACACTTGAATACTTCGGACGTTTGTATTGAACACCAAATCAAAGTCTTTCATATAATTCTGGTCACAAAATTGAGCACAAGTGCCGACTCCGGCGTTATTGACCAGAATATCAATTTTGCCGAATTCTGTGATAGTCTTCGCCACCAATTCTTCGATGTCTTTGTCCACCAATAAGTCAGTCTTCACTCCAAGTGCTCTCTGATTGTCCCGTTTGTGGCATTTGTCGACCACTTGTTGAATGCGTTTGTCATCCCTTCCAGTGATGACAACATTTGCGCCCAAAGACCACAACTTTATGGCAATCCCTTCGCCGATACCCGAAGACGAGCCTTCAATATAAGTATTATTTATTTAAATAGTTGTATACATTATACAAAAGTATATCAAATATAAATTTACACGAATAAAAATTTATTGTTTACCAGTAATTAAAGCGACTTTTCCCGTAAAATCCATTTAAAGATAAATCTTATATTCTAATCAATTAATAAATTTACAATTAGTTATAATCACACAATTGTTTATCAAGTTATTTAAATGTAAAATAAACTATTTCAATAATAGAAATAAAATCACATACACTTAAAAATCCAGATGGTAAATGATTAATTTTACATACTTTTATTAGGATTACATTTTCTTTGAATCCTATTAATTGAAACTATAATATATTTAAATATTATATAGGTAGCCTACCTATCCAGCCTGTATAAAAAATATTATGTGTTTATAACAACGATGTCTAATATTGTATAAATAAATATTATAAGCTTTAATTAATTAATTATTATTTCAATTTCATTAAAAATAAGTAATTAAATCGCATAATGCCCTCCAATTTCCCAAAAATTTCTGGTTACCCTACGAATACACCTTAAATACCTGTACAGGCAGTTACATAATAGCGTCAACCTTTGTATCAGTCATACTGTACTGTACGCACACTTACAGTGCGATACTAACTAATTGCATGTCAATTATAAAACATGAGAAATTAATTATTATTATTATGATTAACTATAATAGATTAGATCGAGATTAAAATAAATGACAACTGATACAATCCAATTAAAAAACACCATGATAGAATAAACTTTAAAAATGTGCGATACCATGGTCTCAAGTACTAACCCTTTGTCGAAGTTGCTTAACTTGGGTGATTGAACGAGAACCGGTGTTTGGCCGTAGACATTTAAACATGGTCCTAATGTGCTAGCTTATCATATTATTGTTTGTTTTAGGCAATAATTTAATCAAATCTGATTAATGGTTATAATTAATCAAAAATACTTTATTATGATTTCATTTTAAACTTAAAAATAATAATTTTACTTAATTTTAAGCACAAAATTCACGGAATATATTGTATGTTATATACAATGCTATTAATTATTTACAATCAAACACAATGAATAATGACATTGTTTGAACATTATAAAATACTCAACTTAATTGTCTATATCGGATCAAAAATGTTAAATTAATTATGTAAAGTTTATATTAAATTTTTAAGTTTAGTTTTACAGGTTTAAGGCATAGATGTTAACGATATTGCCTGTCGTTATCTCCAGATATGGAACCACTAATTGTGTCAACACTTGAATACTTTGGAGCCTATAAAAGTAAATTACACCCTGGCCAAATTAGGCAAGTTTGTCGCGTTAATAAGGTGATAACGCACGCGATGCCCGAGTGTAGCCGCCATCCACTGTCAAAATGGCACCCGTTATGAATGCGGCTGCGGGTGAGCACAAGTAGACAACCGCTGCGGCCACCTCTTCGGGCTCTCCGACGCGACCCAACGGATAGTTTTGTCGGCAGTGCTCTTCAATGGCGGCCAACGCATCCGCATTACCGGTCAATATCTCGAAAATCGGAGTTCGAATAGCGGCCGGACTTTAATTCAAGTAATAAATTGTTATTGAATTAATTATTTTTGTATATTATTACTAATATTAGTAATAATTAACACTCACCTAACACAATTAACGCGAATCCCATCCGGGCCTAAAGCCAATGCTAGACATTTGGTAAACATATCCAGGGCACTTTTGGCCATATGATAAGGAAGATACTTGGCTGACTATATGGGTGTAAAAGGTATTGATGAATTTATTTTACATAGTTTTGTATTTTAGTTACCGGTTTCAGAGAGGCCACACTCGAGATGTTAATGATATTGCCTTTCGTTATCTTCAGATATGGAACCACTAATTGTGTCAACACTTGAATACTTCGGACGTTTGTATTGAACACCAAATCAAAGGCTTTCATATAATTCTGGTCACAAAATTGAACAAAAGTGCCGATTCCGGCGTTATTGACCAGAATATCAATTTTGCCGAATTCTGTGATAGTCTTCGCCACCAATTCTTCGATGTCTTTGTCCACCAATAAGTCAGTCTTCACTCCGAGTGCTCTCTGATTGTCCCAATTCTGGCATTTGTCGACCACTTGTTGAATGCGTTTGTCATCCCTTCCAGTGATGACAACATTTGCGCCCAAAGACCACAACTTTATAGCAATCCCTTCGCCGATACCCGAAGACGAGCCTTAAATATAAGCATTATTTATTTAAATAGTTGTATATATTATACAAAAGTATATCAAATATAAATTTACACGAATAATAATTTATTGTTTACCAGTAATTAAAGCGACTTTTCCCGTAAAATCCATTTTAAGATAAATCTTATATTCTAATCAATTAATAAATTTACAATTAGTTATAATCACACAATTGTTTATCAAGTTATTTAAATGTAAAATCAACTATTTCAATAATAGAAATAAAATCACATACACTTAAAAATCCAGATGGTAAATGATTAATTTTACATACTTTATTAGGATTACATTCTCTTTGAACACTATTAATTGAAACTATAATATATTTAAATATTATATAAGTAGCCTACCTATCCAGCCGGGTATAAAAAAATATTATGTGTTTACAACAATGTTGTCTAATAATGTATAAATAAATATCATAAGCTTTAATTAATTAATTTTTATTACAATTTCATTTAAAATAAGTAATCAAATTGTATAAAATAACAGTAAAATAGATGACAAAACATTTTATTGACAATTAATTGTCAGATTATAAGGCAATCATTTACGGGACGCCCGAAGAGCCCCGCCGTCGACAAACATTATAAGTCCGGTAATGAATGAGGCGGTGATCGGAGAGCACAGGAACGCCACGGCTTCGGACACGTCTTCCGGTTCACCCATACGTCCCAATGGATACCACTCTCGACAGTAGCTCTCGTAGTGTTTCAACAATTTATTATCGCCGGTCGCGGTGTCGAAGAGTGCGGTCCGTATGACTGCCGGGCTATGGATTGGGACATGAATTTAGTTATAGATATAAACATTATTTATTGTGTAATTATTAATATAATTGTAATTAAATGTGTACTCACTTAACACTATTCACGCGAATACCTTTGGGCTCCAACTGTAGTGCCAGACATTTGGTAAACATATCCAGGGCACTTTTGGCCATACAGTAGCTCATAGCTCTCCAATCCTTGTGATTGTAATGATTAAGAGTTATTATTAATAATTTGATTAATTTATTATTAATTTCTATAACGAGTACTTACGGGTACTTCTGAATGAAAGCTCGAGATGTTAACGATATTGCCTTTCGTTATCTCCAGATATGGAACCACTAATTGTGTCAACACTTGAATACTTCGGACGTTTGTATTCATAGTATTATCGAATGACTCTAAATAACCTGGTTTTCCAAAGCGACCGGTCGTACAAATGCCCGCATTATTGACCAGAATATCAATTTTGCCGAACTCTTTGATAGTCTTCGCCACCAATTCCTCGATGTCTTTGTCCACCAATAAGTCAGTCCTCACTCCGAGTGCTCTCTGATTGTCCCGATTCTGGCATTTGTTGACCACTTGTTGGATGCGTTTGTCATCCCTTCCAGTGATGACAACATTTGCGCCCAAAGACCACAACTTTATGACTATAGCGGCGCCGATACCCGAAGACGAACCTTCAATACAAGTATTAAAATACATCACAACTAATATACAAATGTAACTCATTTTAATAATACCTGTAATTAAAGCGACTTTTTCTTTGAAATTCATAATAGTTATAAAAACTACTTTTGTATAAACAGAATATTAAACTATACTGAACTATAATAGTGTATGGCTAATTTAAATGAATAATTATTATAAATGTCAATGTTGTAAATTACTAAATAGTTTGAATTGTAGAATAATTTTGACTTATTCACAATCATGACAATTTGAATTTTAAATAATTATTCTTCAATATCAAGGTAATATTTTCAATACAAATATGATAAATTTTGACGACTCATTAGACAATTGGTCGGCTCTTGTAGTTTACACACTTGGTTTTGGTAATACATCTAAAAATTCAAACGCAAATATGATGTTATATCAAAGATAGAATATAAAATGATTAGTTGAATTTGGAATTACAGCAATGACTATTTTAATATTAATTATTATTGCTAAAATTTCATCGTTATAAGAAAAGTTGTGAATTACAACAAACACACAATAATATAATTTATGATTTAAATAAAAAACTAATCAAATTTATAATCATTAAATACAAGACAAATTACATCTATCTCTTTTCGAGGCCAACCACCACTCGGAGCGGTGCGTGTAATATCTGACTGCAATCTAGCGCTACGGGTATATCGGTGTTAGGGGTTGTGATGAACTTGTAATTGAGCATGATGGTGGCCAGGGCCAGTTTAGTCTCCATCATTGCAAACCGCATTCCCACACAATGTCGGGGCCCACCGCCGAACGGGGTGTAACTGTAGGGCACTATTTTGTGCCGGTTTTCCGGCATAAAACGCTCAGGTTTGAAGGCCAGCGGCTCCGGGAAGTACTCGGGACTGAGGTGTAGGGCGTGGTCTGGAATCTCTATTCTGTGGCCTCTCTTAATGGTAATACCGGTGCCCACGAGCTCGTAGTCTCGGTTAGCGAATCGACACAGCCGTACGGCCGGCGGGTGTAGTCGTAGGGTTTCAGCGATACAGGCGTCCAGATATGGCATTTCAGTGGTCAGCGATTGGTAGTCAAACTGACCGTTCGGTCCGACCCGAGCGCACACTTCTTCGTATAGTATGTGTTGTTTGTCGGGATTGAGTGCCAACTCGTGAGTGGCAAAGGATAAGGTATTGGTAGTGCTCTCATATCCGCCCACAAAGAAGAGCCAACAGTTGGACAGTACCTCGTCTTCAGACATGTGCCGATTGGTGGCCACCGATGAGAACAGTTGTCTTTCACGGTTCAACTCATCGGCGCCTAAGATTGAATCAAAAAAACATAATTTAATTAAATGATGATTAGTGATATTATGACAATATTTACCTTGATTAATATGATGTGACTCACTGTCAACATCAGGTTCACCATCACTTGATCCAGTAATCTGTGACTTGTTCTTCGCCGCCGTCAACAACAAGTCAATCAAATCATTACTTTTGACTCCACTCTCGCGCCTCTCGGCTATAATATGTCGGATCAGATCCATGAAAAACTGAATGTCTTCCTCTTCGGTGCTATGTTTGGCGCTGAAGAGCTCGAGCAGCCATTTGGGTAAAACCATTAGCGCCAGAAAGCGGTACCGTTTCGGGCGAAACTGTTTTGCGGCCATTTTGACCACCGGATTGTCGGGCAGTGTCTGAGCGTTCACTTTGAACCCGAAAGCGCATCGACTGATCACATCCATCGAGTAATAGCCGTACAGTGTTTTCATATTGACCGCTCGACCGACGCTGGCGTAGGGTTTCATTGCGTCCAACAGTTCCCGCACACATTCCTCGATTAATGGCAACATTTGTTTCATTTTCCCGGTTGTGAATACGGGCGAAATGACCGATCGCTGCCGTTTCCAGTCCTCCCCGTTCGCGAATAGTAGGTCTTTGCTCAGCAATGAGTGCTTAAATCGGTTGGCCGTCCGGTCGTCAAACACGTGAAAGTCATTCACTAGAATTTGTTTGATTAGTTGCGGTTCGGCCACCGATAGCACCGGTATATTGCCGTCATATATGCTGTTAAGAGTAGTTTTGATTTTGTAATAATGAGAGAGAGAGAGAGGAGTCAAAAGTAATGACTTGATTGACTTGTTGTTGACGGCGGCGAAGAACAAGTCACAGATTACTGGATCAAGTGATGGTGAACCTGATGTTGACAGTGAGTCATAGCTCGTGGGCACCGGTATTACCATTAAGAGAGGCCACAGAATAGAGAGAGAGAGCGCGCGTTACCCGTATAGTTTGCCGTATTTGGCCATCCAGGCCACCTCAACGTCGGTCTTCTCCCATATAAATCTGGTCAAAACATTGCCAAAGCCTATGATAGGTGGCGGACCTTTAATACCACGTTCGGCCCAATAGTTAAAATTTCTCGTATAGTGCCTGTAAATCCTGTGTATACAAATTACATTATTAATCACAATTATAGTTATACGTTTAATTAAATTTTATTGTAATTAAATCTAATACAAACCAATATATAACAGAAATAGCTGGTAAAATCACATATAAAATTAAGGTAAAAACGGTCATTGTTATAATACAATTTGTTTAAATTATTCTATTATAATACAAAATTTATATTTTTTAACTATAAATTTTAAGTGTTTAACTTTGTTTTATATAAAATCTATAAATAATGAAAATATGTTTGTAGGTTATTTATATTTATACCTTGTATTAGATTAGACTATTTATTCAGTTTTTTACGCTCTAATCGTGAAATAAATAAACAACTATAAAACCATAAGGAATTATTACTTTAATCGACCTTGCTATGAATATACTGGGAATTTATTACATTGGGTACATGATTGTACGTTTGTATTGTATTTATCATAACGTTTACATAACGTTCAATAAAATCATCATATTAAATTACATTTATATTAAAAAAATACATCTATCTCTTTTCGAGGCCAACCACCACTCGGAGCGGTGCGTGTAATATCTGATTGCGACCCAACGCTACGGGTATATCGGTGTTGGGGGTTGTGATGAACTTGTAATTGAGCATGATGGTGGCCAGGGCCAGTTTAGCCTCCATCATTGCAAACCGCATTCCCACACAATGTCGGGGCCCACCGCCGAACGGGGTGTAACTGTAGGGCACTATTTTGTGTCGGTTTTCTGGCATAAAACGCTCGGGTTTGAAGGCCAGGGGCTCCGGGAAGTACTCGGGACAGTGGTGTAGGGCGTGATTTGGAATCTCTATTCTGTGGCCTTTCTTAATGGTAATACCGGTGCCCACGAGCTCGTAGTCCCGGTTGGCGTATCGCCACAGCCGTACGGCCGGCGCGTGTAGTCGTAAGGTTTCGGCGATACAGGCGTCCAGATATGGCATTTCAGTGGTCAGCGATTGGTAGTTAAACTGACCGTCCGGTCCGACCCGAGCGCACACTTCTTCGTATAGTATGCGCTGTTTGTCGGGATTGAGTGCCAACTCGTGAGTGGCAAAGGATAATGTGTTGGCTGTGCTCTCATATCCGGCCACAAAGAAGAGCCAACAGTTGGACAGTACCTCGTCTTCAGACATGTGTCGATTGGTGGCCACCGATGAGAACAGTTGTCTTTCTCGGTTCAACTCATCGGCGCCTGTGATTGGGTCCCAAACCAAAATTTTAATAATGATTGAACATTGATAATGTCATAATGGTTTTTACCTTGATTTATATAATGGGATTCATCGTTAACAACGTGCTCGTCATCAGCACCAGTCTTATTGTTGGCCGCCGTCAACAACAAGTCAATCAAATCATTACTTTTGACTCCACTCTCGCGTCTCTCGGCTATGATATGTCGGATCAGATCCACGAAAAACTTAACGCAATCTTCTTCGGCATTATGTGTGGCGCGGAAGAGCTCGAGCAGCCATTTGGGTAAAACCATTAGCGCCAGATAGCGGTACAGTTTCGGGTTAAATGGTTTTCCAGCCATTTTGACCACCGGATTGTCGGGCTGTGTCTGAGCGTTCACTTTGGCCCCGAAAGCGCACCGACTGATCACATCCATCGTGTAGTTCCCGTACAGTGCCTTCATATTGATCTCTCGACCGGTGTTGACGTAGGGTTTCATTGCGTCCAACAGTTCCCGCACACATTCCTCGATCAATGGGAACATTTGTTTCATTTTCCCGGTTGTGAATACGGGCGAAATGACCGATCGCTGCCGTTTCCAGTCCTCCCCGACCGCAACGTTTAGGTCTTTGCTTAGCAATGGATGACTGAATCGGTTGGCCGTCCGGTCGTCAAACACGTGAAAGTCCTTCACCAGAATATCTTTGATTAGTTTCGGTTCGGCCACCGATAGCACCGGTATATTGCCGTCATATAAGCTGTTAAGAGTAATTTTTGGGTTTAAAAATGAGTTTGAGAGAGAGAGAGAGAGAGTGGAGTCAAAAGTATTTACTCTTAACAGCTTATATGACGGCAATATACCGGTGCTATCGGTGGCCGAACCGAAACTAATCAAAGATATTCTGGTGAAGGAGAGAGAGAGAGAGAGAGAGAGGGCGTTACCCATATAGTTTGCCGTATTTGGCCATCCAGGCCACCTCAACGTCGGTCTTTTCCCATATAAATCTGGTCAAAACATTGCCAAAGCCTATGATAGGTGGCGGACCTTTAATACCACGTTCAGCCCAATAGTTAAAGTTTCTCGTGTATTGCCTGTAAATCCTGTGTAAATTATAAACTTTACAATTATAGTTATTTGTGATTTAATTGATTAGTTCAAACAAAAGCTTTTATTTATTAATAATTAATACAAACCAATATATCACGAAAATAGCTGGTAAAATCACATATAGAATTAAATTAAACAGTACCATTGTTTAAACAAACTAATCTATTACAGTATTATATAAATTTGTATTAATTATTTAATGTTCTGTTTATTATTAAAATTTTTACATAAAAGCTATAATTAATGAAAACTTTTTCGCAGACTATTTTTATTTATACCATATGTTTCACTATTAGATAAGTATATTTATACAGCTTTTATACTCTAATCATGGTATTTATAAACAACTATAAAACTATGGAAAATGATTACATAACTGATCTTGTTATACAGCGAATTTGTTACGTGATAATAAGTTTATTAAAACGTTACCTTAACGTAATACTATCCTAACGTTTTATTAAATTATTTTCGCAATATGTTATGTAATGAATAGGAATTATAATATTTTAATTATAGAATTTGTAATTTAAAAGTGTTATGGTATAAAATAACCCTTGATGTTGATTAATGATCACTATAGTTTGCAACAAAATAATATTAAAACACTTTTTAACAAAATAATATTAACAAAACTACATTAAATGTTATTCATTATAAAATTTTAGAAACATTATTTTATACATCTAAAAATAAATAGTAATTGATTATTTCAGAATTTATTAAAATCTGAATCAAAATGTAAGTATAATTCATTGTATAATTCATTTATAACTCATAAAGTATAATTGCTTGTCATGAATTGTTCAAGTTTTTTTAAATAGTTTTTAAAGCAAATCGCACATTATTTGATTTAATCAACTGATGGTTGAAATCTAGGCCACGAGTAGAGCCCCGCCGTCGACAGGCATTATAAGGCCAGTGATGAACGACGCGCTGCGCTCGGAGGCCAAGAAGGCCACCGCTTCGGCCATGTCTTGCGGTTCGCCGATTCGGCCCAAAGGATACGTCTCCCGGCAGTGAGTGACCAGAGATTCCAACAATTTTGTACTTCCAGTCCGTCTCTCGAAAACCGGAGTCTTTGTGGCCGACGGACTATACAAATAGATATTTGAAAATGCAGCATGGTCATTTATAATTATAAACAAGTTGTAATGATTGGATTGCTTTCATTATATGCCATATTAAATCATACCAAGATTATCATACTCACTTTACACTATTCACCCGGACGCCTTTTGGTCCGAGGTATATGGCCATGCATTTAGTGAACATGTCCAAGCCACTTTTGGCCATACAGAAGGGCGGATTTTCAATATTCTTAAATTAAATTTATTTTTAAAAATTAAGCATAATAACATCTTTCAAGTCGGACTATTTATTGATATATTATGTAAAATTTTACATTACCGGAACAATACTGCCAATGCTTGATATATTAACAATATTGCCCTTGGTCAACTCCAGGTGCGGTAACGCTAATTGTGTCACCACTTGAATTGCGCGTAATTCGCCGTTCATTTGCATATCGTACATGTTCAAATAGCCCGGTTCACCAAATGGCACGATGGCAAAGCCTCCGGCGGTGCTATTATTGACCAGAATATTAATTTTGCCGAACTCTTTGATAGTCTTCGCCACCAATTCCTCGATGTCTTTGTCCACCAATAAGTCAGCCCTCACTCCGAGTGCTCTCTGATTGTCCCGCGTCTGGCATTTGTCGACCACTTGAGCAATACGTTTGTCATCCCTTCCAGTGATGACTACATTTGCGCCCAAAGACCACAACTTTATGGCAATCGCTTCGCCGATACCCGAAGACGAGCCTTAAATATATTAAAATAAATAGAATTTATTACAAAATGTGATTAACTTATTGACAAATTTAATAAATGCTATGTAAATAACCTGTAATCAAAGCCACTTTCCCATTGAAGTCCATTATGTAAACTACACTAGTGTTAAATAACTTTACGTGTAGATTAAATATTAATTAATGCTCAATAAGAGTACTAATATTAAATACAATACAATGAGATACTGGTTTTATACTGTATTTTATAAGATCGTTGCCTTGATAAATAAATTTTTGTTTCATGTCAGTTAATATTTTATATTCTAAATAGTTTTTGCATTGTATTAACTCACATAAAATTGTCTTACAAAATTAGTTAATCATGATGTAAAAACTCGATCATGATGATTCTTTGTTTCTAACCACAAGTACTCGAATCGTATGTTTTAAAATAAATATTTAGTGTTTCAGGTAATATTATTATAATAACTAATTATTAGTAAAATAGCAATTACTTATTTGTGCCACGTTGGTAACTTTTAATTTTGTTCAATGAAGAGTTTATTGGAAATATAAAAAACAAAGTTAATTTGATAATATTAATCATGATTTATTTCTAGAATCGATTCAATGTTTTTTACATTTTTATTATTAATGAACAATTTAGAGATATTATTACAAAACATTGCATGCATTTTAGGAGCATTTTGTGTGAATCATATATTTTTGCCATTTAATGAACAATTGAATGAAATGCTGACACAATTGTTTAAAACTTCAGTTAACTCATTAAAACAGCAGAAAATAACAGACTACTTTTCAGATAACAATTAAAACGTGTAATTTTGAATATTAATGGAAAAATAAATGTGTTTAATCATATTTTGTAGCATGATCATTTGTATGAATGGATCATTTCAATGATTCATTTGTGTGAACCAAATGCTAAAACCCAATCACGTCACCCAAATGGTCTTTTTACTAATTACTAATTAATTACTAGATCATATTTGTAAAAGCAAAATAATGTCATGAATCTAAAGGAGGATGCCCATCTGTGTGTTAGCGGGCACTTTGGATTTATTGTTATAAAATGAAAGTACACTCAATAGGTAGTCGAGTGATATACTTCATATGTCCAGATACTTTCTGGTCTGGCCGTAGTGACCACTTTTATCGGTAAAATTTTGAAAATCAAATCTTTTATTTTATAAATAACCATAGCATATTATATATCAATGGAAAGGTATGGATGAGAGGATTCGATATCTTAAGGAATTTCTTAAATCTGACATAAGAGATAAAAGTTATATCAAAATTAAGAAATTTAGTATCAGTTATATACGTTTTTTATAGTGAATAACGTAATTACTGAACATCATTTATATCAATTTTAATTATGCTTACAATGATAATTAATTTCGCAAATTTAAAAAAAATTAAATTTTTTAATATAAAATTTTTGGCATTTTACCCATTAACATTAATCTTTGTCCTTTAATTTGAATACTACTTTAGTTTAATTTTGAAACTACTTTTAATGTTAGGTATTTTAATGGGAATGAATAAATGAAACCAAAAACTCAATTGAAATGTAAAACTGAAATGATTTCGGGAATATTTGTCATAAAAATAGACATTTCGGGAATTTTTTGAAAATATGCTAAAATCAGGAATTTTTTTAAATAAGGCCAAAATCGTGAAAATAAAACTTATATATTTTTGGCCTATTATAACCCTTAAACTTAATGGTATATAATTCCCGGTGATTTTGTTAATTATTTTTTATAATTAATGTATGACATAATATGAGCACTAATTTCCCTCACTTTACACTCACTTGAAGTCAATATTTCTCATCATTTATTAGGAATTGAAGTAAAGTTATGGAAATGTTTAAAAAGTTTAGTATAAAACTGTTTCATAGCGATAATTCAATACTAACAGGGATTACATTAATCATTGAATAGGCATAAGTCGATCACTGTCTACATTAAATCAACCGTATAATAGTAAATAATAATTACATTCCCAGTGCACTACCTTCATCAATAATTAAACTTAATTATGAATCTGGTTCAATTTCATTCATGATCCGTTTGATTAGCGATTATTATGTCAATGTTATTATTTATCGCATTAGCATTTAGTTTGATTTAATTTCTGTCAATCATTATTGATAAATAAGTCAGTAGTGAAAGTAGAGTATCCAGTCCGTCAAAAAAATCACATAGTTAGGAAATCGTTATATCTCCCAAACGGAATGAGCTAGATCAATTCTGTAAACTGTAAAACAATGTTCCACATGTCTAGTTTTTTCAATCAAAAAATTATGGAAATCACGTGACTAGAACATAGAAATTTTTGGGTCATTTC